CTATTACATTCATTTCCATACATTTACATATCAAAACTAAGTTTTCATAATACTTGTACAAAAACTCAAAATAGAGCCACATTCCAGCTTTCTTCATACTTGAGGCCCCGAGTGAGAGCCTTCTGCCAACGTATCACCTGCACCTGAAATGTTTTTCCCATAAAGTGTGAGTCATGCTCAGTAGAGTATTTCCTACAGAGGCTACTCCTCAACCTAGATGCATATGAAATGCTCACATGCAACACATAAACAATCAACAACCATTCCAACCAAGATTTAGCAAGTCTAAGTTGGAATCTAACGTCATGCCATGATATGAGGTGATACCTACTCATGCAACTCAACCCGAGCACTCCTTGGCTCCTTTTTCCCTATAAAATGTCATGAGTATTAAAAAATTGGCTTTTCAAGCCCTGCCATTGGCGTTACACACCAAATGACTATTTAAAAATCTTGGGGTCTTTCTTGGGGTGGGTATTTATGAACTTACACCAACGGCACCCAACCCGGCATGGAATTTATGGACTTTCACTAATGGTTTCGCATACACTGACACACTTTATGGGCTCTTATACCAACAGAGTGCGTATCCGATTACCGGGCCTCTCAATCGAGGGATTGTCTAGCCCTTCTTGCTAACCCTAACCCAATTTTCATGCAACCGTACGACTCAGTCAAATTTTCAATCCAACTTTGCCGAGCCCACCCGTCAACCTCCAAGTATAGTGCTTGATCAAACCATGCACACACCCATACCCACACCCATGTCTCTTGCCCATGGATGCAATGAGTCTGTGCAAATGTAATGTAATGCACCATTACTATATCAATGTCATGCCACATATGTAGTGAATGTCATATGAGCAAATTTTACCATATTTATACATATTTCATGGCAATTCATATCCAAAGCATATAATTATCAATTCCTTCACAATGTCAGTATATCTATAAACATATATCAACATTTTATTTCAACAACATATTCCAAGCATGTCATTACATGATATATGCCAATAATACACTTCATTCACAAGGCATAATATAAATACATAGCATGCCCACATAATCCCAAATTCCATGTAATCACACAAGTAATTACAACATACTAATTCCATGCTAGAAATTTATTTTAAATCATTTCTATACCCATTTTCATACCCCTTTTATCAATTTTCAAAAATATAGGCAAGTGATATATATCTCTTTATCAACCTACCCATTTCAATTTAACACCCTAGGTTGTAAAATAAACCCTAGTAGGAAGGAATCCTATTTCTTGAAGCGTACATGGTGCCAAGAAGCTCCAAGACCCCCAAAATGAGCTAAAATCTTCACTTCTTCAAAATCCCGTCTTGGGAATCTTCAGTGAAAACCCTCCTTTTTGTTATGGTGGCGTAGCCCATGGCAACAGGAGTAACTTTAATTCTTGGCTCGAATGGATTCGAACACCCGACCTCCGTAGATCGTACAGAGAAGGTAAGATTTCTCTATTTTTCTCTCTTCTATTGGTGAATATCTGAACATATGTGGGAAAATTGAATTTTTCCCCTATTTATAACCTTAGAATACTTGGCCCACAACACGCCACACGGCCCTCTTTTTCTCGGGTCCGTTTTTACCCCGAAACGATTAAATTTTTCTCCGGTTCAAGTTTAAAATATTTTTATTTTAATTTGCCTTAAATAAATTTTCAATTTTCAAAATTTTATTAAAAATTTTATGTTTTGGTCATCCGAGACTCGACCACCTTGTAAAACGTGAAAAATCTGACTAACTCAAAATTCAATGAAATTTGCGGGGTAACTAGATTTCGCGAGACGAATCCAACGGTGAAGGTTCGTTTTGTCATCTGAGTTCTAAAAAAATTCAGGTTTACAACCCATACTGTAGTGAAAAATTATCATTTTGTCCCTTTTGTGAAAAGTTCAAATTTACCCGGGTTTTACACTTATAGTTAACAAGATTTCAAGTTTACAGTACCAAATAGTAAAGTTTACAAAAGTACAAATTTTTCCCAAAGTGACAGTTATTCACAAACATTATATCTCATGTATTCAGGTAGACTAGCATGATGATACACACCAAACATATTTGCTCTACACCACACCTCAATCACAAACCAACCAACCAACCAACCAATCTCTGCTAGGCAATAAAACTTTAGGAAGGGCATACAACAATATATCAGTAGTGACGAATCCTCCTCAGGACTAGTATACTAACCCCCAACCTCGATCACTGTGAATGAATAATGGTTTGGTCATCGCAAGTTACTAACCCCACTACGAATGATGTAAAACCTTCGAACCCTTCGAGATAAGAAACAACATCTAAACACTCTGCGATATAGATTCGAGTGAAATTCACGTTCATCGCACCCACCCATACAATTGATAATTTTTACAAATTTTTCATAAAATTCAACTACATTCAAGAATCATAATTTCATAACCTTTTCAAATGAATAATTTAAGAAAAAATGTCAGAGATTCTCAAAAAAATTCTTTGAATTGATAGTAATCAAGAACTAGGGTTTTGAAATCAAGAACATATGATTTTTGGATGTAAAACATGTACTTGGAAGTAAATCATGTGTTTATTCAAGAATTGAAACATATATTTAAAAAGAATGTAAAACCTTGTAAATCTATCACATATATAGAATATGAATCAAGAACAAGGTTTTTAAATCATGAACAGATAGATCTTGGAAGCAAATCATGTATTTTGTTCAAAAAATGAATCATGGATTCAAATGAATATAAAAATATTGTAAATCAATTATTTATATCATAATAAGGATGAAAAATTTATATTATATAACCCTAAACATCAATTAATGAATCTGAGAAAGAACTCCTACCTTGACTCCTTAGATCTTGATCCTAACATGTTTTGTTGTGATTATCACGCGGTAATCCTTCAAGATTTTGCCCATTCTTCCTCATTTTCTTTTTCTGAAAATTTCCTAGGCTTCTTAGGGTTGAAAAATAGGTAAAGATACTTTAGATTTTGGCCCTAAGGTATTTATTGGGTGAAAAACGAAGGAAAACACTAAAAACTGATTGGCCTAACCTCGAAGGCGCGTCTCGACGATAAACATGCGTACCAATGGTCCAAACTCTCTGCCCGGATACTAATTAACGTATTTGGACGCATATTTTTCAACCAGAAACACATAAATAGGTGCGTCCAGATGCACAATTCTCATCCCTATGTCAGTTTCGGCTTGATTTTGACCCAGTTAAAAGCTGATGCACAAAATTTTGTACAAGGTCTTATAGAAATTGTCTATTTTCTCTTGAGTAAGAAATCCTATCAAATTAGTTTTTAAATATTTATAGAGTTCTTAACACGAATAAATTACAATGAATCTTTGTTCTCTAGTCTTGACAAGTATAGACTATGTTGAGTAACTAGTACTCAAAGGAAATGATAAAGAAGTAGTTATTTTATTATATGTATAGTTAGATTGATATGCATTATACATAAAAGTTAATATATTATTAATATCATCTACAATAATATGAAGTGACATGTTTCAATTTAGAAATTCAATTTAGTAGCACCTTTACAACCACTAATTTTATTCTAGGATCCATTACAGCACCAAAATAAAAAATAAATAGCATGCACTCTTGATATTTTTAAAATATTTCTTTCATTATTGAACCAATGTCCACAAAAATTCTATCTTCTCTATATGTAGTAAAAGTAATAGAAATATTGTAATAAAAACCAATTCCCAATGATGTGAGGATATACATAGTATGATATTTTACCACTAGTAAAATCTGAAATTACCTTATGATAATCTATACCTGATTGTAACATAAGAAATATAGAGTTCCAATAGTTGTAAATATCAGATTTAAATTTTCTAGTTTTTAAACTATTTTTTAGCATAAATGAAAGAACGATACACGATAGGTATCATATGATACGTCACGATACACCAGAAAAACGATACGTATTGTTTCTCTGTATTATTTTTTGCATCGTACTGTATGATATGTACGATACAATACGTCCAATACGTATGATACATTATGATTCTGTTTTTTCTTATTTTTTATTTTGATTTTTTGGGACTGAAATGACATCATTTTACCCTAAGATTTATTTTTAAATCACTAGTCAATGAAACAACATCATTTCAGTGGTTATGGTTTTAAAAAAAAAATTATGTTATTGTTATTTAATTGAATTCCAAATTCCTGATTAATATCAAGGTTGTTTAAGCAGTTAATGTTAGAAGTTTGAATTAGAGGTCTTTGCATTTTGATTTTACTGAATTATGTTAGAAACTTGAATAGTTGGTGAAATATTAATGAAATGTTATATTATTATGAGTCAATGATTTTTTTACAAAGGTATATATATATATCTTTTATTAATAATTATTTAAAAATTAAAATTATGCGTGTCTTACGATACACGATATGATACGATACACTATTTTTTAAAAATGATACATCTTCCGATATGCAATTTTAAGAACTGATTCCCTAATGTCTTTTTATATGATGTTTAATTAAAAAAAATGTGTAAGCTAAAAAAGAATAATTTATTGATTTAAGAAAGGATTACACAACCAGGAGAGGACATAATCCTTAGCCCTGGAAAGCAATCTAAACCATAGTTGTTAATAACGTACGATACGCGATACGTATCATACAATACGTCAAGATACAGAGCCCAAACGATACGAATCGTAGTTTTGTATCATTTTTGCGTAGTTTTGTATCGTTTTTGCGTTGTATCGTCCGATACATGATACGTTTTTATGATACGATACATATCGGTACAATACGTGCAAAGTAAATTTTTTTTTAATGAAATGATGTCGTTTTGGAATAGGCAGACTGATTTTTTTATCCCTATAACCACTGAAATGACGTCGTTTCAGTGGCTAGGGTTTACCAAAAAAAAAAAATCTCTCTTTTCCTTCTTCGTTCAGCGAACATCTTCGACTTTTGGTCCTGGGTGTTCTTCAGCCGACGCCAATTATCACAGAAGCTGCCTCCATTGTTCACTGTTCAGTCGACGAAGACGATCATAGAAACTGCCTTCGTTGTTCGCTACCTTCGAATCGATGGTCTTCCATGATGATCACAACTGCCTTCTCTCTGTTCTTCCATCTACGCTATAGAAGCCCAGTCTCCATTGAAGTTGCGTTCTTCTTCCTTCTCCAGGTACAACAACAAACCTATGGTCCTATTCCGTGCAGTGGAAGAAACGATGTTAATTTATTTACAAATATTTGTATAAAAAATTTTGAATCTTGATTAATTTTAATTTTGTGAAATAGTGGCATCACTAGCATCCTATTTTCATATAGAAAATAGAAGGATAAAGGTTGAAATTGAAATGCATTCATTGTGCAAATGTCTATTAGGGAGGCATTTGATGAGTGAAAAATATTTTGGCAGGCAATCGTAAAGATGTAGCGTCATGTAAGCATTGCCCTGAGGAAATAACTAAATTTTTTAAGCAATTGTTGGATGAGATGGCTTCTAGAAAAGATATGAGTCTTGTGGATTCGAAAAGTAGTGGTAGTGTGGGTAGTACTACTACTGATAAAATACAACCAACCACCACCATTACTTTGAATACCTTGTTAAACAAAAAAGGGAAGGGAAGATGTATGCTTGGATATTTGTAGATGTTTTTATGCTAATGCCCTTCCTTTTAATTTAGTAAAAGATCTATATTTTGTAAGAATGTTAGAATCTGTTGCATCGTTTGGCAAGGGATTGAAACCTCCATTGTATTATGAGGTGAGATATTATTTTTTGAAAAAAGAAACAGATTTGATTAATGGTGGGTTGATGAAAAATTATAAAGTAGAGTGGAGAAAGACGGGTTGTACTCTTATGTCTGATGGATGGACTGATGGGAAACATCGCTCTATCACTAATTTTTTAGTGAATAGTCCTAGAGGAAATGTGTTTCTTAAAAGTATGGATACTTCAGGCATTTGTAAGAATGTAGATAATCTTTTTCAGCTTTTAGATTCATTGGTAGAAGAGATTGGTGAGGACAATATTGTTCAGGTTGTGACTGATAGTGCATCGGCTTATGTAAAAGCTGGGGAGTTGTTAATGGAAAAGAGGAACAAGTTGTTTTGGTCTCCTTGCACTTCACATTGTCTAGATCTTATTTTGACAGATATTGGAGACCTTCCTCTACATAAGGATATAATGGCAAAGACAAGGAAAATCACAGTTTACATTTATAGACATTCTTGGGTGTTAAATCTTATAAGGAAGTATACAAAGAAAATGGATTTGGTGAGAACTTGTGTGACCAGATTTGCCACCTCATATTTAACTTTAAGGAGTTTATTTGAGAATAAAATTGGGCTTAGAGCAATGTTTGCTTCCGAAGAATGGTAGAGAAGTCAATACTCTAAAAAGGGGGATGGTGTAAAAGTGATGGATATTACACTAGCTGACCAAAATTTTTGGGGATCAATCAAGTATTGCTTGAAGTGTGTGTTGCCATTGGTGAAGGTGTTGAGGCTTGTAGATGGGGATTTAAAGCCTGCCATGGGGTATATTTACGAGGCAATGGAGAAGGCAAAGGAACAAATTCAAAAGAATTTTCGTAATGTGAAGAAGCAATATGAGCCCATATGGACTATTGTTGACACTAGATGAAACATGCAATTACACAGACCTCTTCATGCAACTGCCTATTATCTCAATCCAATGTAAGATTTAAGTTTCTCAATTTTTATATCATTTTATATCTATATATTGTATACTAATCAATGATCATTGTAAATCAAAATAAATATGTCAGGTTTCATTACGTTAACGGCAATGCGGACTATGAGATAAAGATGAAACTTTATCAGACTATTCAGAGAATGTGCCCAAGTCGTATTGTGAGAGAAAAAGTTGATAAACAATTAGACATCTTTCACAATGTTGATTTGATGTTTGGAATGGACATGGCAATCCAGATAAGGAAGAAGACACAACCTGGTTAGTGGTAACCTAACTTAAGTTAGTCATTTAATGCAATTGTGCAGTATTCTATTGTAATTTTTTATAGCCTTATGGTGGAAATCATTTGGAGGATGTTGTCCAGAGTTACAACAACTTGCTATCCGTGTCCTTAGCTTGACTTGTAGTGCCACGGGATGTGAGAGGAATTGAAGTACATTTGACCAGGTGCACTCTAAGAGGAGGAATCGATTAGAGCAGCAAAGATTAAGTGCACTTGTGTTTGTGAACTACAATCTTCGATTGGAGGCAAGACACCAAAAGAGAATAGTAGAGGGTGATTCCTATGATCCTATTTTTCTCTCAGATATGGAATCTGATGATGAGTGGATCACTGAAAAAGAAGATGCACTCCTTCCTGAGGACACTAATTGGATGAATGTTGGTGAATGTTTTGCGGTTCAAGAAGGGATTAGCAAAAAGAGAAAGAGAGATAAATAATATATAATTAAAATGTAATGGCTATTTTTTTTCTTCTCCATTACTTTGAATTTTTTTTTTATATTTGTATTGGTTGTTTTGTAGGGCAAAGAAATCTTTTTTTAAACAAGAAAAAAAGGGAAGCAAATAGTTCAACTAGAAGATGAGGATGAGGATGAACAAATACAAGAAGTTGAAGATGATGAAGGAAGTGAAGACTTGTTGGCATCCGATCACAATAATGATGATGATGATGCATTTTCAATTGAAATTGAAGATTGAGTTCAAAATGGATGTTAGAAATTTGGATTAGAAGTCTCTTTGGTGTTTAAAGTTTGAATTAGTGAACTATGGTTGTGAACTTTGCATTATAATATTAGTGAATTATGTGGATCACTTGAATAGTTGGTGGAGTATTAATGAAATTTTATATTTTTATAAGTGTATATTTTTTTTTCAAAAGCATATATATTTTATTATTATTTATTTAAATTTGCACCGTATCTTACGATATATAATACGATACACGATTTTTAAAAACGATACGTCTTCTGATACACGATTTGATAACTATGATCTAAACAGATTGGCAATAAAAGAATTGGTAAAAACAAATTGGAAAATTCCTAAACCCATCTTTTATTAGTCTTCAAAACTGGAATGCACCGAAGTCCTAATTCTCATTGTTTGAATCTGCCTTTGATCTTGAAAAAGGAGAAGGCGTGCTAGGAAAGGCAAAGAATCAACTGAACTGTACTTCCTTGAATCTCTATCTTGGACCCCTTTATTTGCCAAATAATGTGCTACTGTGTTAGCCTCTATGTATATATGAACAAGTGAAGAATCCATCCTACTCAAAACCAATCTAACTTGATAGAGAAAGTCCAAAAAAATCCAAGATTGTATTTTACGTTAAATCATATCCACTAAAACTTTAGAATCAGATTCAATAATCAACTTATAATTCCTCAAGCCAAATTTGTGAAACATCCTTAAGCCATCCAGTAATGCTCTACACTCAGCCTCCATATTTGTACAGTAGCCATAAAACAAAGAAGCTACAAATGCTAGCTGCCCTCTTTGATTTCTCAGTATCACACTACCCCCTAAATTACCTAAATTCCCTTTAGAAGCTCCATTCACATTAATTTTCAATATACCTTCAGGAGGATATAACCATTTAACCCACAATACTCTAGTTTTAAGCATAGAGAGTACTTGACCATTCAAAGCCTACAACAAGTCTCTACCTTTGGACAATTTTCCAACCCTTGGTTTAACCAAAAACCTTGAAGCTTTAGTATATACATAACCTTCTTGACCACATCAGAAAAATGAAGACTTACGTCCTCAAATTTTCTATTACACCTTTCCCTCCATAACTGCCAAAAAACAAACAACGAAACACCTCTGATTAAAGCATGACTCAGAGAGGATATTCTGAAAATCCTAGCAATCCGAAGCAATCTGACCATAGTATCCTCCTTTTTAATCAAATTAAAACCCATCAAAGCACTCAACCTCTACCCCATACTGCCCTAGCATAATCACAATCCAACAATAATCTTTTTTCATTTCATTAAAAACCTTTAAACAATCACTTCTAGCAGTATTTCTATAATTACTTAACAAGGACGGATTAAGATATGATTTAACATAATTTTCAAATATGTAAAAGCAAAAGATTGCTCTAATACTATATTATTTTGGTTAACTCTTCTCTTAATTTTCGTTGAGAGTAGGGTGGCAAACTACTTGTAGTTTGACTAAGAGCATCTCCAAGAGACTAGATAAACCCATCCCCTTCGCTATTTTAGATAGTTTTTTCTCTAAAAGTGACTCCAACAGACTAGTTATCTGGCTATCTATTTCCCATAACCTATTTTTTACTCGATAAGTGTAGCTAGTCCACATCTCCCTCGCTCCAGTCTCTGCCTCTCTCTGGCTCTTCATGGATTGACCACAAAACTCCATTGATCCCTGCCTCTCTCTGCCTCAAAACTCCATCGAAGCTTCAGATTTGCTCAAAGCTTCAGGTATTTTGCCTCTCTCTGCCAGACTCAGACCATCGAAGCTTTAGATCAGAGAAGCTTCAGACCTCAATCGAAGCTTCAGACCATCGTTAGCTGCTTCAGACCATCATTTGCTAGTTCAAGGATTCTCATTTCACCTAAACCCCTCCCCTTAACTGAGTTCCTTATCGATATACGAAGGTAAAACCCTAAAGCTTCAATTTTGTTTCTTTATGGTTTCGATTGTCTCATAGTTTTTGTTTTCTGATTGATTGAATCTCTGTTTGTGGATTTATANGTATTCTCATTTCACCTAAACCCCTCCCCTTAACTGAGTTTCTTATCGATATGCGAAGGTAAAACCCTAAAGCTTCAAATTTGTTTCTTTATGGTTTCAATTGTGTCATAGTTCTTGTTTTTTGATTGATTGAATCTCTGTTTGTGGATTTATATAAATTTTTGTTCTTGTTTTTCCAAATATTTTTTGGTGAGTTGTTTTTGTTAATTAGATGTGTTCTTATATTGAAATTAGTTGGTGGATATTGAATTTTTTTTCCTTTGAGCCTACATTTTGGAAACAATGGTTGATTCTAACATTGATTCTCAAATCTCTCAAGATTTGATCACTCCTCTCAATACCCATTTCGCCTCTCACTCCAAATCCTCCGCCATGGAACCACCAAAACCACCACCACCAAAATCCTACTGACGATTCAGCAAACAAGAATTTTTCCCAGAACCCTCCTTCCA